TCTCTCTCCAGCTCCATTTCTGTCACTGAGTCCATGTTTTCCAACTACTGAATCTTCTTCTTTAAAATTATAGGTAAAATAAATTGTGACACTACAGCGGGAGTGGCATCCACTTCCTAAGTAACATGCCTCCGGAAACTCCATGGACTTTGCTGAATGTGTATAGTTGTAGTTCAGGCCTTTTGTTTATAGGATCACTGTGAGTCGTGCTCGACTTGAAGGCAATCAATAACAATAACAACGAGCCTGGGTTCATTTTTGCACTTTCTTTTAATCGTCATTGTGGAGGAAAGCCAAACCAAACCCCAAATTGGGTCTGTTATTCTGAACCCATGATCGATGTCTTGGTTGGTCTACAGAGCTTCCTGACTAATGCATGCGTGCTGCATGTTGGTCACAAGTATTTGAAAGTGCCTGACAGCACATGGAGCTCCTAGCCCCAGATAATGCCATCTGGCAGAGAGAAGCTTTGTATGCTTACTCCAGTATGCTATATAAACTTCATCTTACTCTGTGTGTGCCAAGATGGAGAAAAGCTGGAAAGCTTATCTAGATCCACATGATCTCATTATTTTTTCTTTATTTCCAGTGGTATGATGCTCTCAAAGCAGTGGCCAGACTATCAACAGGAATACCAAAGGAATGGAGGAGAAAGGTGAGGAAGGTTCACAGCACTAAAAGGCAAAAGGACCAACACTGTCTTCTTTAGAAGTGTCTGGAATGTAAAAAAGAATGCTCTTGATTTAGTAATTTAAAACATCTCTCTTTATTATTCACTTAGTATTTATCGACTATCTACTCAATGCCAGACACTATTCTAGGCACTAAAGACAGCAATAGGACAAATTAACACAGACAGGAACTTTTTTCTTCATTTAGTTTTGCAATGAATAAGATTTAAATGAAACCAAATTGTTTTAAGTTCTATAGATAAAAATGGAACAGGGAAGGAAATAAGGGGAATGTGGTGAAAAGAAGCAGATAGTTTGAATTTAAGATAGAAAATTAAGGGGAGATGTCACTGAAGACATGGCATTTGGGTGGGTCTCTGAGGGAGGTGAAAGGTGAGTCATCAAGTCATCACTTGGGAGAAGAGCATTCCAGACGAAAGGAACAGCCAATGCAAAAAGCCTATGGTGAGAGAGCATTTCAGGAAGATTCAAGTAAAAATAATAAGGGTGGTTGGAGCACCGTGAATAAGGAAGAGCCCTAGGAGAGGGGTTGCAGAGATAATGTGTTGTTATTGTAGGTGATGATATGGAGGGATATAGATCATATGGGACCTTTTAGGACCCGTCCTCTCATGCATTCATTACACTGAATTGGAACTGGCTCATAGCTGATTCTCCAGTATGTTTCAGAAATAGTCAATCAAATGGGTGGTTTCTCATCTTTCTCTCATGGAGTTTTGAGTCTCCAGAGAGGTGCCACCTATGGTTACCAGCAATACTCCCTGTGGACGATACCACGAGTGCTCCCATGGGACATAGGCCATACTTGGGATTTAGCCCATTGTCAGATAAGAATTTTTCAGTGTTACTGGAAAATTTTGAGCAGAGGAGTGACACGACCTGACATATGTTTTAAATGAACCACTCTGGTTATTGGCTTGAGAATATACTGTTGAGGAACAAAGACAGAAGCAGGGAAATCATTATGAGACAGGTAAGAGGTATTTCAGGTAAGAGGTATCATTGATGTGGATCAGGGTGGGAAGATTAGAGATGGAGAGAGAAACTCAAGATTCTGAGCTATGTTTTGAAGTCTGAACTGACTCAAGCTCTAATTAGAGTAAATATGGAGTATAAGATGGATATCAAGAATGATTTCAAGATTTGGCCTGTGCACCTGGAAGTTCAGAGTTACTATTTACTCAGATGAAAGACAGGGGGTGGGGGTGTGTGTGTGAGAGATATATACATATAAACATATGTACCTATATTTGGAAGAGAGTCGAGTGAGAGTTTTGTTTTGGGTTTGTTAAGGTTGAGGTTCTTACTAGACATTTAAGTTAAAAGTGTCAGTAAGTAGGCATTTGGAGCTGACATCCTACTGTTTAGGAGGGAAGGCTGGAGACATGAATCAGTGTCATTTCTGCTAAACTACATTCAACTACTAAATATTGGAATGCTCTTTTAGGATATTAATTTATACATCTACTTTGAGCATGTTATCAGGAAGGGCATGGAAAAGGACATCCTACTTGAAATAATGGAGGGTCAGTGAAAGAGGGAAGGACCCTCCATAACTGGTGAGCTTTTGTTTAGAGCTGGGCTGCTCAATCACTGTACATCAAGGTTCTGGTAGTTAAGCACTGGGATAGCTGACAAACAAGCCCGTGGTTCGAACCGTCCAGCCACTTCAAGGGAGGAGGGAGTGACAGTCGGCTTCCATAAAGATGACAGCATTGGAAACCCTTTGTGGCAGTTCTATTCTGCCTTATAGGTCTTCTATGAGTCAGAATTAACTCAGCAGCATTGGGCGTGAGACAAGGATGATTTAGAACAGTCTACTCTGTCAAAACCAAGTTCTCTTTGTGAATGATCGGTTGGCTTTTGTTCATTTGTTCATAGGAACAATTCAGAGGCAAGTGTAACAAGCTTACAATAAGACTAATTTAGTGAATGGAAAGAATATTTAGTTTTCTAAAAAATGGTTAACAATTGTTTATTGTTAATAATTAAAAAATTGTTTTCTGAACAGTATACTCAATACCTATATTGAAAAAATAGAATATTTTTTACAAAGTATATTTTAAAGGAGAAATGAAAGTCCCTCAATAGTACAGTTCATGTACTGCAAACATTTCAGCAGGCTCTTGTACATGTCTACCTGCGGGCTATGTCTAGACTAGGAACAGATGGTATTTTATGATTGGATGTGAAAACTTTCCCAATAAAGAAGGTGAAATGATGAATTCCATTTTAGCATTCTTATTCTTGTAATATTTTAGGTTTGGTTGACGTTGGCAGATCATTATTTGCACAGTATAGCCATCGACTGGGACAAAACCATGCGCTTCACGTTCAATGAAAGGAGTAATCCTGATGATGACTCGATGGGGATTCAGATAGTCAAGGTAAGCACTCCTGACTAGACTTGCTGTCCTAACTTAGAAGGGAGACAATAACAGCTAGATGTTCCCTGGACAGAGGATATTCCCTGGACAGATGATCTCTATCTTATGATCTGAAGGCCCGTTTTTTGCTTCCCCATTTCATTGCTGCTGTTATGTGCCACTGAGTCGAAAGCCAACGCATAGCCAACTCTTCAGGAGGATTTCAGAGGCTGTAGATCATTTGAAAGGAGGAGATTGCCCATCTTTCTCCCTCGGGGGCACTAGTGGTTTTGAATCCCCCGTCTTTGGTTGGGCAGTGCAATTCTATCTCTAAGCCACCAGAGCTCCCCCCTCATTTCCTTAGCCTGTATCTTCTTTTTTAGGAACATTTTCTACAAATTTATTTAAAAATTAATAACTCATCAGTTTTTATCGAATTCTGGAGTAAAGTATTTAGAATGATGGAATTGATGGAGAATCTTGACTATGTCTTGTCTTCGTTTTATGTTGATAGTAATAAAGCATGAATTAGCTTCCATTCATATTAAATGTATTCGTCATCTTCGAGTTATGGTTGTTATTTGGTGCCTTGGAAGTCTTTTTTTTTTTTTTTTGCTTTTGTATAGATTTTGTACATAAACATCACTGAGGAATTTAAAGTTAAGTATTTTATTTTAGGATAATTTGGCTCTTATTAGATTCTCTGATGATTTCATAACTGTTAATTTAGAGAGAGAGGATAACCAGCAGGTCTGTTTGAGGTTTCAGGCAGCTGTGAGGACAGCTGTGCTCTGCCTACCTGGTTATTAGCTGATAAGAACCTGATCCTGAAAGCCAAGGACATGATTCTATTTGATCCCAGGATGATACTCTTACATAAGCCTCTAGCATGTAGCTTTTGATTTATATGAGTATATATAAATCAATATTTAGCAAGAGCTTTAAAAAGAAAGTTTTATTCAAGTTTGGTGACCAGAAGGTATCCAATCTTTTGGCACGCTTGGAGGCATTGTATTTTTGCTAAGAGGAAGTACTAGCTTTTTGACTTTATTTGATCAGTTTCAGACAAATGCTTAAAACAATTCTATCTCTAGAGTTTACACTATGTGGGTGGAAAGCTTTTCCACTATCCACATTTCAGTTATTTATTTGAAATTTTAAGATGTCTCACAGATGAGATATTTAATATTTGAAGTATTTTCTTTAACATGTGTGCTATAATGATACTATCATTAAGAATATCTCTTAATTCCTTTTGAAATAAATGCTGTGTCAGTAAGATAGATGGCTTTAGCTCCTAAAAATCACAGGCTGTGCTTAGTGACCGAATTATTGATTTAGTCTTCCTTAAGTCTTAAAGTGCAGCAAATGTTTCTGTCCTTCTTACACAAAATTAGAAGGCAGTTTGCAAAGAATAATTTTTCTACCATGAGCTCTCTGTTACAGACTGCATTTTTCACTCTTTTGATTTTGTTTTTAATATTCTTAAAGAGTTTTGAGAACTGAAGTTTGTACTACGTATTGTAGAAAAGAATAATGTTAGCTCTATCATATGTCTCTTTCAATAGTTAGCATATCAGGGTAAGCCATCAGTTTATATGAACTTATAAGATAAGGATTCTGGGGCTTCGTCTGACATACTTGGACATGTTGCAAGGAGGGACCAGTCCTTGGAGAAGGACATCATGCTTGGAAGGTGGAGGGACAGTGCAGGAGGGAAGACCCTCTATGAGGTGGATTGATTCAGTGACTGGGGTAATGGGGGTGGGTGTGTTGGAGACAGTGAGATCGGCACAGGATAGAGCAGGGTTTAGGGCTGTTGTATATAGGGTTGCTATGAGTTGTAAGTGAGTTGACAGCACATAACAACAATACCACAATCTTGCTTAATTTCTGAGGTATAGTTTGTGTAAATTCTTGAAGCACTTTGAGTAGAAAATTTGCAGATGCTGTTTACATGTCATGTGAGAATATATTTTTTAAAATGTAAAAGCTTTTGTTTTGGCTAAGCATGTTAACACATGTATATAAATGTATGTTATTGTTGTTGTTGATTGCCATTGAGTCAAGCACGACTCATAGCGACACCTGAAGCCCCTCTATAACTATGTCATTTATCAAAGTACATAGAGTTTCCAGAGGCATGCTGTTTAGGAAGTGGATGCCACTCCTGCTTCCAAATAAGTGCTATAAGACTATAGCACATTTTAAAAATGAAAACTTCTGTTGATAACTTGACTCTACTTGATAATGAGGCAAAGAAGTAATTAGTATTATTTTGGGGCGAGGGGAGCTCTGGTGGCTTAGTGGTAAGGAATTGTACTGCCGGCATAAAGGTACCTGGTTTGAATCCATAAACTGCTCCTTAAGAAAAAGATGCACCACAAAAAGATAAAGGTAAATGATCCAGTTGAAAAATGGGCACAGGATATGAACAGACATTTCACAAAAGAAGACATTCAGATGGTCAACAAGCACATGAAGAAATGTTCAAAATCTCTAGCTCTAAGAGAGATGCAAATCCAAACAAGTATGAGATATCATCTCACCCCAGTCAGAATAGCAAAATTTAACAGAACAGCAAGCAACAAATGCTGGCGAGGATGTGGAGAAACTGGAACCCTTCCCTTATTCACTGTTGGTGGGAGTGTAAAATGGTGCAACCACTGTGGAAGGCGGTATGGTGCTTTCTCAAAAAGTTGCAAATAGAGATACCATTTGACCCAGCAATTCCACTACTGGGAATATATCCCAAAGAGACCATGATTGACATCCAA